TAGTTTTCATGATTAACTAGTTTTATCCCTAGGGCTTTGGAGTTGTGGAATAGCTGCTTATTGAACAAGACTTGCAACACAGTGTTATTTTAATTAACTAATCAAAATTACCATAAGGGTATAATTGATGGTTCTTAAACTTTGAGATGTGAAGAAGGGAAGAGGTTTTTGGCAAGATAAGATGTGAGTGTAGATGTGTTTCCATTTCCCTCAGATGTATAAACTTTAATATCTTTCTCCCTTTATTCCATAATATCTTGTCTATTTGAAAATCTAATTAAAGATAATATAATTAGACCTATGTTTAGCCAGGTTTTGCATAGAAAATGTTCTAGGGAAAGGCCAGTGACTCAAATAAGTACTTTTGATCTTAAATGTAGTTGTTTCCTGCTTGGAAGAAGATAAAAGGAAATTTGAGGTAGATCTGTGAGAACTTAGTTAATACTGAAATGGGTGTGGAAAGGAGGTGACAACTAGATTTAAAGGCCTCTTGAGAGCTACAGTGCAGGAGCATGTGGTAGCTGATCCTTGCCTTACTTCAGGAGGTATTACTGAGGTCATAGATCAGAGGTTGAAATAATTTGCAGTAGTCTAGCTATTTAAAGTGCAGGCTGTCTGCAATTGAGTAATTATGGGTGGGATCATAAATTAGGGAATGAAGATTTTTTTTTTTAATCCAGTCTTGAAAGATCCATCTTTTGATCCATCTTTTATTTAATGGCTAATTATGCATTGTAGCACTGTTACTCCTTTTGTGCTTTATCAGTGTGGTGATCAATAATGCAAATGCAAATGAAGTAACTGGCCACGTCTGCTTCAGAGATGGAACTCGTTAATCAAGATCCCTCTCTTCCTCTAACTTGTAAAAAGTTAGCTTAAAAGCTTTGAATACGCTTGTGCTTCTATTCCCAAAGTATGCTTAGTTTTTCCGGCCATTTCTGTAGATACGTTGCATTGCTTTAGCGGAAAGGCTTTAGAAAAATTAAAAACTGTTATCAGTATATTGATTTTGTAGGATGAGTATGTGAGATGATTTAAAAGTGAAAATGGAATGTGTGTGGAGAAGATAATAAAGGTAACTTCAGGATTCCTCTTGTTTTGAGGTATTTCTTGGTAAATTGGAATCATTTTTTTTTACCAGTTGACTGCACATAGCTTAAATGTAACCTATGTTCTTTTTTTAAAATATGTCTACTTTTTTTTTCTTTCTTCTGAGAAGTGTGTTTAACTGACAAGAGGCAAGGAAGAGAATTAAAAAAAAAAAAAAAGCCTTGGATAGTGAAATCTGTCTCAAGCTGGTTAATTCATTTACTTTATCTCCTATTATAAACAAAAGTAGAGCAAAGATGTTGTCCAGATTCTGTTCTAATTGTCTGATAAGAGCTCTCTGCAAACTGATGATTTTCCTTTCTAGGTCATGCTTCCTCCTGGTGCTCAGCACTCTGATGATAAAGGTGCTAAAGAAACTATTCTTGATGATGATGAGTGTCCACTTCAGATATTCAGGGAGTGGCCTAGTGATAAAGGTAAGTCTAAAAAGCATTAAGAAACTTTTGTGCGTTGGGTGTTTTAAAGCCACCAGTGTTGGACCTGAGTGAATTTTAGAATGTTTTGTTTTCTGGGTCTTTTAAAAGCAGAGGCTTTTAGAGTCCTTTTCGGTTTCATTTGGCAGTGTATATCATAATATATCTTTAGACAGTAAAAGAATTTATACATTTTCTTTTAAAGTTTCTAAAGTGTCCAGTGAGAAGTGAATTAAATCATTTACACTATGCATAACTGGTAGGAATTTAGCAAGCTGAAAGCCATTCTGTAGCATAATTACAAAATCATAGATGTGTTTTTGTGCTTATTTACTGAAATTGAGACTCAAAGGGCATACAATATTGTGTTTTAGGAATACTAGTCTTTCAGTTGAAAAGACGGCCTGCTGATTATATTCCAAAGAAATCCAAGAAAATAACTGATGGAAAGCCATTAAAGGGGAAGGAAAGAGTTGACGGGTCTGGCTACGGCTCCTGCCTTCCTCCTGAGAAATTACCATATCTGGTAGAGCTAAGTCCAGGTAAGAAGAATGTCTTGTATAGTTATATAGGTTATATAGTAATATAAATTATGCTAATAGGAATGTAGGCAGTTCAAGTGAATGTTGCCTCTGGTGATCTTCTAGTGTCAGAGTCTACATTTGAGATAAATGGAGGTAGAGCTGCATATTGCTGTAGTATTGATGTAGCACATGTTTGGAGAAAAAAAAAGTGACAAGGGAGAAGTGGCATGGCTTCGAGTGCACATAAAGGAAGGGGTAGGTGTTTCAAAATCAAAAAATACTCTCAGTTCTCAACTTTGCTTTGGGTTTGGGGGGTTAAAGCTTATTATTAAGTAGAATGTTTTAATGCCTTACAAATGTTAAACCACAGTTAGAAATCATATCCTCATTGTTGTCCTGTAATCCACCAATGAATATGAAGTGTGTAGAGCCCTTAGTTCAACAACTAAGTGTTCTTACTACGTGTAAATACGTAGGTATTCTTGGGAACGTAGGGAAGGAGTGCTTTAAAAACTGTGTGTGTATATATCCTTTACTTAAAACACTTGAAGTGGTAGTGTGATAGACTCTTTGCAGTAAATAGGGCTTTTAGGGAAAAAAAAATGCTGAAATCTGGTTTATCTGAGATGTATTGCAGGTAAGTTAATAAGGGACCAGAATGTACGTGTATATGTTTGTGTGTGTGGGTGTGTTTAATCAAATTTGTTTGCAAATAAATCGTTTTTCAGTCTATATTGACTGTTAAGCTCCTTAGCAAGGTTGGGTTTCATTTTTAGACCTCATTGCATCTCTTTGATTTGCCTTGTAATCTAAATGAATTTTAAGACAGAGCTTGTTATTTATAATGTAACATTTTAAAAACACATGTAACTTTTAATCTCTACTGCCTTGTTATTTAAATGATGTAGTTATAGGCTTTCACTCCTTTATAATTTAGTTATTTGTATCTCTTTTCTTAAGTGTAACTTGAGTACATGTAACTCATGGTTCCAAACAAGTGATTTACGATTCAGAGTCTGGTTGTTTATTTTTCAAGAGGCAAGACTGGAAATTGATATTGTAAACTTTGAATTTAACCTTTTGTTTCCTGTTCTGATTATAGTTAAATAGCTTAAAAATTGCTAGATGAAATCAGCAGTATGCAGACTATATTAAATATATTTTCTACCGTGTTAGAGAGCATTAAGTTAGATTCGCATGTGAACGAGGGTTTTTTTAATAGTAGTTTCAATTTCTCTTTTTGCTTTGTTTGTTTTCTTCTCCAAACTCTTGCTCTCCGTGGAGCCTGGTTACTTTAATACCAAAGCAGTGTGTCTGGGCAGTGGAGCAAGACATCCATTAACTAAGAAAGGAAAAACAATCTGAAATGACACAAGTGGCAAGGCTGGGTACCAAGCCCTTGCACATTGCCTGTGGAACTGACCTCTTGTTTGTGTTTTTCTTCTAACAGCTTGTTGCTTTTCTAAACAATAATTTGAATTGTTCCACTCACTAGCTTTGTAGCACTGATGTCTTTATACAGTATGCCTTTTTTGAAGTTGAAAGAGTTAAATGCACTGCATCCATTTAAACTGACAAGTGTGGTCTGGATACAGTTTCACCCTTTCCTGTCTTTTCTTTTCCTGCCCTCTTCCGCATGTTCTGCATGGTATCTATCCTGCTGCTGCTGCCTTCACCTGGGTCCTCTGCATGTGTTTCTAACCCCAGGGAGAAGGAATCACTTTGCCTACTACAACTATCACGCTTACGAAGGTAACGCTATATTTTAATACTGTTCTCTCACTAGTCACTAAAAACATTGCTGGCTGTCTTTTGTTTCTTTTGACAAATGAAAGGCTATCCCGCTATCATCTTTTTTCAAGAGGCTGCTTTTGTGAAGTAATCTGTCTTGTCAGTTGCAATTTAAATACTCTGTGAACAAATGTCAAATAGATTATGCTGCCATCCAAAGAGCTCAACCTTTCAGCTAAGACTACTAACTAAACTTCCATAGGGTGATCTGCAAACATTGTAGTGGTACTGAAAAAAAAACAGTATTCTTTGATCCATAAACTTCCACATTGTAGTGGTAGTGAAAAAAAAACAGTATTCTTTGATCCATCTGCTTGCAGAATGCATAGGTTAAAAGTTGAAACGGATAAATGGTGTAGAACTTAGCTGAGTTTATCAATGTTTGATGTGGTGGATGAAATAATTAATTTTTGTTTGTTTGTTTATTGGAAGTTTTTTGAATCACTGGAAAAGTAACATCACTTTCTTCTCTATGGTATTCCATTGCTGCCTCTGACATTTCTACTTCTGGTATTGTGGTGGTGTCTGCCAGTAAGAGTGTAGAACAAAGATTTGGCTACATCAGATGGGCACAGTTGTGTGTTGTTAAGTCTTAACTGTAATCTTTGAAATCAATAACCTACTCAAAAGTCATTATAAAACTTTGACTCTCCTGTAGTTTAACATAATGTGCAGGTATATCCTGTTTTCACTAAATAGAAAGAGATAAAAAACTACTTTCTTCTTATAATTACAAAATGTCTACCAAAATCGATTAAAAAAACATGTGTTTCCTCATTTAATTTCCTAGACTGCTATAAAAGTTCTGTGTCTGTCGGTGTTGTCAGTGTTCATGACTTTGAATCCAGATGTCTATCTCACGAAGACCATTATTCCAGAGAACAGAAAGGTTTTATAGGGTATGCTGAGCTAATATATTTCTTGTGCAGGAATACCTGACTGTTAGGTAGAAATCAGCTTGACATTTAAGATGTTTCTCAATGGAAAAAACAAACAAAACAAACAAAAAAAAACACAGCTTCTTATCCCAAATTGTGAAAAGTAGGATTTAGTATATTGAAGTCCAGATTGAAGAGCCACTCCACTGGCTCTTCAGAACAGTGCATTTCAAAATATTTTTACTGAGCTGTAACTGCTGTAGAAATGTACTTCATGTCAAAGCATTGGCTGTCTGTGCTTTGCCAGAGGAATCTGGCAGGCTTCAGTTTCATACCCTGTGCAATTGCATAAACCTAGCAATTTTGTTACTGGTAATTTATCACACTTTTTGACTTCCCCACAGCTAATTTATCTTACTCGTTACGTGACTCTTTGTAGACTGAAGATGTGGATTCTGCACAGTATAGTAAGAGATGCATTTCAGTAGCTTATGGCTGTAAATATAGCAGTTAGAAAGTGTCTCTTTGAAGTCATATAAATGCACCGATAAAGTGAGAGGAGTCTGATAGTAACAGAAATAGAATGGATAGACTAAAGTTAGATACGACAGCACTTGTAGCTGCTGATACTGTCTAGGTTATCTGTGAGTACGATGCCGGTGAGTTCAGGATATTATTAACTTCAATTATTCACAAACAACAGATTGACAACAGATTCACAAACAACAGATTTAGAATCATAATACTGAAATACTCAGGAAAAAAGACAAGAAGCTGTTTTTACAGATGCGACTGAGATTTATCATACGAGCCTGAAATAAAAAATTTTGAAGGATTTAAACAAAAACAACAAAAAGCCTTTCTCACTGCCTCCCTTCCCCCATAGAAATGACAGAAATGGGTGACAATGAGAACATGCAGGTATAACTACCAAAAAAGGAGGTTTGCAAAAAGTTGGAGATGTTCGAGAGCCTTTACCAGGGCTGTTTCCCCAGCTGACCGTCGCTATGAGAACAGAAAATGTCATACATTTTACACATTAATTTGAAGGGGTTTAGTTGTCAGTTGTCTGTCACGTGCCCCACTAAATCATTGTCCTTTGCCTTGTCTCAGGTGATAGAGTCTCCTTTATGATTATTGGCTATGTCTTAAAATACATGTTTTTAAGGCACTGCAGGCAGCATATACACATAGATATATGTGTGTGTGCATCAGTGTACATGTGCTTGTCTCATGGGTGAAAATAACTTGTCAAAATTATTCCAAATGCAGAGTGGAAAAGGGTTGTTTGAACCCCTTTATGATGTTACTGGAATAACCTTTTCCAAATAGATAATTCAGTTTAAGGTATGTGGTAGTGGGTAACTCAGTCTCCTGACTCATCTAAACCCATGCCTGCACACACACAGATCTAGCTCTACTGATGTTGTTCAGTCATGGATGTCATAAATGGAATGCAGGCAGCTTTCCCCCATACTATGTGTTTACATATAAAATGTTGAACAGTTTGTATAAATTTCCTTTTGCTTTTTGAGGCTTTTTCTATATTGTTTATTAATGTCCGTATGTCCAGGAACTTTTGACCTTCTCAAATTGAGTTATTTTTTTTCGTCTTCTCAGATTTAAACCCCTAAATGTAATGATTAGCATAGTGAAGTGTTAAAAAACTGCACACAACTTACACTTGCTGAAGATACCATTAACATTTATCAAATTTATTATGCAATAATCTTAAAATAATCTTCTGGATGTCTCCAGAATCAAACAGTGTGAGCTCAAGGGTGAAAAAAACCTATCCCTGTATCTGAATAATCTTCAGAGGACCAAGCGCTCTCACGTTAGATTTTTTTTTTTTTTTTTTCTCGTGGGTTGTCATACTGCTGTTATGGCATAGATTCTAAATATGTTCAGTAACTTTATATTACTGTAGTATCAGCACTTAGTTTCTGTATATGTAGTGCTAATCTGTGAGTTATCTTTGTCTCAGCCTAGTGCCTTGCTGCGCTTTGCTTTTTCTCACTACTCCCCATTCCCAGACTCATGGGATTTCTAACTCTTTGATTTCTTTTCACCATGGTAAAAAGAGGAACTCATGGGAAATCACTGCACCGACTAATCTGTTTACCTTATGATGCCCTCAGAGCAAGTGTTTCAAGTCCCATACGAAACAGTTCTAGGAAATTATGGAGGGTGATGTTTTATGACAGGAAGGCTTGCACTCCCAAGGCTGAGAAAATGGAAGCAATTCAAATACTACCACGGACCCCCAAAAAGAAGCTTATTACTAGAAGCATATGTAACACATTTTTTTCCATCTGCATCATGTAGAATTTTAGTGGAATCACCTTCACTGATATATTTTCCCATAAAGTGAATGGCTGGGGGAGGAATATTTCTGCTCTTTTGTACTGTTTGCCTTCAGTTTGTGTCTGCTAATTTTAGTCAGTGTGTAATTCTCAACTGTTAAGTCTTTTGTATGATGTTGACCTTTATTTAAATACTGTTCTTTGAAGGACTGACGGACTCTGTCAGGGACGAAGAAAGTGAAACATTGAAGTTAAAATGGCATTAATTCTGACTGTAATAAATGAGTTGTCATAGTAGTGTTGGAAGTTTACAATTCGCCATAGGATAATGTAGTCTCTGCATTTATTGACTTCAATTTAAAATTTGAAAGTAACTAATATTCTCTGAAGAGACTATCACTGTATATGCCATGACCTTGCTAATATTCTTTACTGCTTTTGGGATGTGACTTGAAACTTTTCTTCATGTTCTCAGGCAAGATGTTTTTGGTCTTGTAACATCCCTTTTTACATTGTTCTTTCGGAAAAGAAATTGGAGAGAAGTCAGAAGTTGAAGGTATTAGTTTAGCATGTACTAGTATTTAAAGCTATAGTATTTTCTGGGAAGTGAGGAAGGTTCATATGTTTGCTAAAACTCATCTGTGTTGGTTGGTGAAGGTAACAACTGAATCTTGTGTTGTCTTCTGTGTATTTCACTACATGTTATTTTATCTGGAGGATATTTACTTCTTGGGAAAGAAAAGGACAAGTGCTAGAATACCCTTTATCTCTGATAAAGAGAAGAAGTGTTACAGACCTGTTTACCAAGACTAAAGATGTCTTGGGAACAATTTTTCTAAGATTCTCTTATAATATCAGCCTCTTATAGTACCTGCTGAATGGGAAACAGTGTGGGATGTTGGTCGTTTGATAATAGATACCGTTGATACTCCATGCTTTTATTTAGCAGTGTGACAGAGATGGAAAAATCTATAGTCTTATTGCAAAAATACAGAGGTATCTTATTTCCAAAATCATTTAGGAAACTCATTTAGGAAACCCATATTGGTATCATAATTTTTGATAATCTCTAAGACTTTGCATTGCTTGAACTACTAAATGAATACAGACATGTTTTGAAGTGTGCTCAGGTAGTGATTCTTGATTACTTTGTTCCTTTCAGTTGCAGAAAACAGCCGCTCTGTTGCATGGGCCATCTCTGCTTTCCCTGTTTTTACACAATGATGAAAAACTTTTAAGTGTTTTCCACAAACCTAAAAGAGTCTCACTCAAAGTTGTATTTTGGTTAATATTCCTACTTTGAAGAAAGCTTTAATTGCATAGAACTGTTGTGTGAGTATTTGAGCTTCAATAACTTGCAAATGAATATTTGTTTGCTCTACAGATGGCTCTGACTCCAGGGATAAGCCAAAGCTCTATCGTCTACAATTGAGTGTCACTGAGGTTGGAACTGAAAAATTTGATGAAAATTCCATTCAGGTATGGGGGGAAGAAGCAGACTCAAATGGAAGACCTGATCTAGCCTTCAGAGAATCAAGTTTAATTGTGGAAATGAATTAAATATTCTGTGGGTCTTGAATCATTTAACTTTTTAGTAGTGATCTCAGTCTTTCCTATAATTTTTATATTAATGTTATTAATATAAAAGTTATTCTTCAAAGCTTGTTTATTTTCTTGTCTTGTAACTTGGTCAAAACTGATTTAAATGCTGTCCTTCTGTGTTAAATCCATAAGCAGGTAAAATTATATTACTGGTCTGTAAAGAAAATAAGCTGTAACTTGATCTTTTAGGATTGCTTTTGTTTTGTTTCTGAAGCAACATAGTTCGGTTTGTTCTTCATTAATATTTTTATTTCCAGTTATTTGGTCCAGGGATCCAGCCTCATCATTGTGACCTCACTAATATGGATGGAGTTGTTACTGTAACCCCAAGAAGCATTGATGCTGAAACTTACGTGGAAGGTCAGCGTATTTCAGAAACAACTATGCTGCAAAGTGGCATGAAGGTTCAGTTTGGGTCATCTCATGTATTCAAGTTCGTGGATCCCACTCAGGACCATATTATTACTAAAAGACCTATTGATGCAGGTCTTATGGTGAAAGGTCCAAGACACAAAACTGGGTGAGTATGATAACTTGTTATCTTCTAATTGAGGAGAAGGGCAGACTGGAAAAATGTAGAGGAAGACAGCATTATAAGTATTATGAGAGCAATATAGAACATGGTTTAAATGAGTTCTGACAAACTGTTTTTAAGTGTAAAAAGATATAATAACTATTTTAGTACTGGAGCTCCACCTTGTGATTATTTTTAGGATTAGCAAGTGCCCATTTCTTTATTAAGTACTTATATGTGTTTTCCAGAAACTAATTCCTGTGTTAAAGTCAATTTAAAGAATTATTTTAATTTGATTGCATAGCCAGCCATACAACCTCCAGGAAGAATAAACACTTTGCTTAGTGTATTGAGGGTGTCTGGTTTTCATTTTTCCACTAGATAGTAACTTCCTGAGCTTCACTAGAGAGATTCAGAATTGAATATCTACAGGTTTTTTTAATGTCAAAATAGAGCATAGCAATTAAATAGCAATCACTATTATAGTGTAATTACTTATCTTCTAGTTTGTGTTTCAAGGACTAGCAGTTCTCAGGTCCATCCTTTTATTTCTCTGTATAGTCGTATTTTTGGGATAGATACATACTAAAAATATTGTTTGTATTTTTAGCGACTTATATGGGCTCAGGTGCCCTGTTCAATGGCTGTTATGGATATATTATCGGGAAACTTAAAAGTCAGACTGTATACCATGAAAGATATGATACTTTTTATTCTGAGTGCAGATGAAAGGCTGGAACTGCTATTGTAGTATGCTTTAAAAAAGAAAAAAAAAAGTGTTTTTTTGTTTGTTTTTTTAAAATCTGCACATTTGCTGTAAAACAGATAATTTTAGAAAGGATGGTTCTCCTGTCTTTCATTAATGATGAAATATCAGTCATTCTTTTAACTGGACATAGACTGTTCTCATGCATTTCCTGCAACAGAAAAAAATGCACTGAGTTTTTGGAAGGAAAGTAATACTTGCAACCAGTAAGGGTGTAGAAGGGTGTTGAAGGGTGTAGAATATACCAAGTGTGCAAAAGGAGCATGTCCATTGGTATGGCCTGTGAAGTTTAGCATATTTTTGAAAGTAAGGTCCCAAGATGTCCAGTGATTTCCTTCCTTATTGCCATGGGAAGACAGTTCTTGGCCTTAGGTATAACTAAAATTTTTGCTAGCCACAAATTCATATGTTCTATGATGAAACTTGCGCAGAAGAATTTTAACCTCCTTAGATGAAGTTTTATGCAAATAAGCAAAAAGTGACAGAGCTAGGTAAAGGTGACTGCTTTAGTTCAAACTGCAACACCATAGCTTCAAAGCTATTAGACTGTTGCAAGCTTTGAAAGCTCACAAGTAATTTTCTTTTGCTAAGGAATTCTGCCATTTCTCCCTCTTCTGTTTCCTGCTGTTGCCAAACTCTCCTCCATCCTAGTAATGATCAACATACTCATTATAATTGCTGGATTTGTGATGCAGTTTGAGTGAAATACTTGGGAACAGTGTGCAGTTTTATTCTCTCCCTCAGCAACTTTAGACCTGTGATTTTACACAAATTTACATTTTTGAAAGCCTGGGGACTGACAGGATGAAATTTACTGAGCCAAAACTTTCTGTTTCTCTTTGGTGTCCTCGTAGACTTGCTTTCATGTATCTATGAGTCAAAGGGTTAATAACTGGTGTAGGGGGCTCTCATATCACCAAGTAGTCAAAATGTCACCGAATTCATGGCCGTGCTTCCATCCGAGAAATTCTGCGACTTGTGATCACTTGTCATTATAGTAGCTGTCGGAATACTTTTTTACATACCTTGCTTATCAGTAATGGGATAATTGAAACGTGTAAGCCTGCATTTCTCTGGGTGTTTCATTCCTGACCCCTAATTTTCTTCAGGCTTCAGCCCTTTATTCTTTCCTCAACTATTCATGGGTTGTGGGCCTCACTATCGTTGGTGGGTTTTGTACTAGTTTCTTGCCCAAAATAGAATATGGGATGCCATTCTCATGAGTGATCGTCCCTTTGGTGAGAAATTGAGTGTTTTGTTTTTTTTATTTTAATGTTTTAAAATGCAAATTGAAAATATGTTGGGTCCTGTAATATAATACAAATCTTGTGGATGCTTGTGTTTTGTCTTTTCAATTGGTAGATGAAAAGCCTCCTTAAAAAGCCATTTGCATGTCCTGCATTTGTGAAACAGATCTCAGTTTGGGCTGGTGATGTGATACTTTTGCTTAAACCTCTAGCTCCCTTTACATCTAGTCTGCAGATTAATTAGCAAATGCATTTCTGGGTTTATATAGTCAACTGCAAAGCTTATTGCAGAGCTTTACCCAAACAACCAAATCTCTGGATATGAAAGCTTGAATTACCAAATATTTTAAAAGTCTATTCATCAGAATATATGAAATTAATGCATTTAGTTTTGGATACAAGTTGATATGGTGGATGTGCATTTAGTATTGAAGACTTGAGTGAAAACACAAAGCTGCAGTAAAAATATTAGTGGCAGTGGAAATATGCATTTATTTTAGTGGTTTTCTCTGTTCTTAATTGAAAACAATGCAACTAAGAATCAGTTTTGCGAAAGCAAATGCTCTAGCTAAGTATTTGTAGTCTTTCAATAAAAAAGGAATTGATACAGTGGTTTAAAAGTAAGCATGAACAAGAGTCAAGCAAGAAAGGTCTCTGAATTGCAGCTTACTAATGTTAGCTACTCAGTCCCTTATTTAGCTGTGTAATTTCTAAAAGGTACTTCAAATGTTTTGCTTTTAGAGCTGTTCAGGAAACCACGTTTGATCTGGAGGGAGATGTTCACAGTGGAACAGCATTGCCAACAAGCAAGGTATTATATTATAGCTAAGTTAGGAATGAATAATAAATGTTAAAGGTAATGCTTAAGCTGGATCAAAATTACAACATAAGTAATATTTGGTAAAGTGTTCCCAGGTTATCATTCTCCCCAGCTACTTAGCTTTGTGAGCTTGGGTACTGTGTGCATCTTTTTTTCACCTAAGACTATTCTGTGCAAGTTTCTGTTAGCATTTGGCATGCATTCCATGCCAAAAAAAAAATACAGCAACCTTCCCTTTAGAAAGGAAAATTGCTTAGATGTGGAATAAATTTTTAGGAGAAACTGGTTAATCAAAGGAAGCTTACATGCAGATAGAGCTGCATAGTAAAAATGATACCTCGATATACCATACATGTAGCGTACAACCATTGTCACTTGTTTAGAATAAGTTGAATGTTTTATGTAAAATCTGAATGTGTTCAAATTTTAACTAATTAGCCTTTTAAAATTTAATGGATGTGACTACTGACTTCAATAGAGCTCCTGTATACATACACTTTCACTAAATAAATTATCTGAAATCATAATTATAAACATTTTATGAAGTAATAATCTTTTTGTTCTTGCTTTCTTTCCGCACTGTGTTTCTGCTAGTAGAGCCTTTCCAACAGAGTTACATTTTCCAGGAGCAGAGAAAATGAGTAAAATGACACAATGGTTAATGCCTTTAAATGGTTCAGTCATATGCCAAAGATGAAATGAGAAAAAGAATTATTTCAGCATTCTGAAATGTAGTAATTTCTCAGAAATGCATTTCCTTTTGTGTTTTGTTACTGCTGCTATCAAATTTAAATAATTGAAAAGAAGCTTTGTGATTAGTGCAGTGGCTGTGCAGAGCAGTGCTGTTGGTAAGAATACTCTGATAACTTTTTTTTTTTCTCAAAAATGTAATAAAAGAAATGTTTATTGGATGAAATAGGTATCCAAGATTCCTGAATGCATTGCCCCACTAACAAATCTATAAAGAAAGCAGAACCAAAATCAGGTGTTAGTGATGTTATGGCACAGACAAAACTAAAGACAGATATATTTAAAAGCTATACAAAAAGTAAAATTAGTCAAATTGCTCAGAACTAGAGTTACATTATAATATTGTATAGTGTGTCCTGTGTTCTTTTCAAATTCACTAGAAAATTACTTTTATTGGACCTAGGGAAGCTTGGGAAAATGACCTTTCTTGAACTGTGTAGTTTGAGCATGTGTATGACATCTTGTTGAATCACTGATTAGATCACTGCTTCACTAATGGCTTCTTTTATGAGTTTGCTTTGGACAAAAGGGATAACAATAACTTTAATGAAAGTTCCCTTGAAACCTCCTGATGAAAAGTGATTCATAGATTCGCATGCCAGTACTGAGATAATTATTCACTTGAACTTCTGTTTTGAGGCATGCTTTTTGGTATGTTTTCTTGTGTCAAAGCAAATTACTTAGTCCTAGAATTTTCTTAAGAAATGTGAAAGTATTTTTTATTTTATTGCTATTTTATTTTCTATTGCTTTTACTGAAAAATAATTGCTGTAAGTTGTGCTGCTTAAAGCAGCGTGTTTCTGATGTGCAGCTGGTAAACATAAATCAACAGCCTGCTCTTAAGGAGCCTGTGAGACAGAAGAAAATAAATGGACTTGTGCCTAAAGACTGGCATCGTTTGAATTGCCCTTTCTTGCCTTAGAAAGCTATGTCCTGTCTATCATAGAAGACTTTGTATTAAAACATGATAAATTATGGCATAGATTAATATGGAACTGTGGCAGAACCAGCATAGGGTAGCTTAGCCAGCTTTAAATTTGTTAATATGTTTAACTTATATTGAAAATTTAAGAGATATCTGAATCTTATTTTATATTCATAGCCATGCAACATTTAAAGACATTTGGAATTTTCAAAATATATTCTGACAACATTTAAGAAATATCTGCTTCTGTCTGCCCAATGTGGTATTTTGCATTGCAAGTATGCTCTTGAATGTTTCATTGTCGTGACAGCATCCACTGAGTTTTGTTGTGTGATTTTTTTTGTTTTTTTTTGTTTTGTTTTTTTTTTGTTTTGTTTTGTTTTTTTCTATTTATCCCAACCCTTTTCCTAGCCTCAAACTGACACTTCATTTTAATAGTGCCAAGCACAAATATTGGCTAATGTGATGTTTCCATGCTAAGCACCTGTCCTACTGTTTTGAATTAGAGCATCAGCAGGCTTGATGGTGACAGAACATCATCAGCATCCAGCACAGCTGAACGAGGAATGGTGAAGCCGATGATTAGAATAGAGCAGCAACAAGATTACCGCAGACAGGATAGCAGGTAGGCAAGCTCTAATCCGTAACTTCTCATAATTGGGAAAAACAATACATTTTCTGATAGATCAGCAGTGAATTATAATATTTTGAACGACCTGTCTTTCTCCGTGGAAAATAAGATTTCGTTTGAGACTTTAGCCCAGTAAAACTCAGGATTAATAATCAAAGCGTAGAGTTCAGATTATTAAATATACCTTCCTTTGTTCAAATATTGTTATTTATAGTTTTCTTTCTGTAAAGTCTCATAAATAAAAAATAAATGAAAGATGGGAAAAAGAGTCCCTTTCACATCTGCAGGATTGGGTAGAAGTCTCACATAGTTATGTTTGTGTCCCACATAATGTGTCACATGTGATACTAGATACTTATTTGTATGTGTATATTGTGTGTTGTGTGTATGTCTATATATGTGTGTGTGTTTTTGTGTGTGTGTATATATAATATATGTTCAGAAGCTCTCTGAATTCTGTGCAGCCTGCTGTAGGTGACTGTGTTTGAGAAAGGGTGTTTGACTAGATAATTTAGAAATATATGTTTAGAAATTTCTAAGGATTTCTAATTTCTACAACCTCAGTGATTCTGTGAAGAGAGATGAACTTTCATTACACTTGTAAAATACTGTCTGGGAGTTTTTTGTTTGCAGAGGAAGACGGCCTCTGCTACATCATCCTTATTTTATTTTATTTTTATTTTACTTTAATTTTTATTTAATTTTTATTTTATTTGCCAAGAAACAGCAGTGAAGCAGACAGCAAGCCAGCAGTAGTGTAGGATGCTGGAAGTGGGCCAAATCTGTATGAACTGGACATGTAAAAGTCCATGGGACCTGATGGGATGCTTCTGAGCATGCCAAGAATTAGCTGACATTGTTGTAGATTGACTCGCATCCTTGAAAGTCATGGAGTCAGAGGAAGTTCAGAATGACTGGAAAAGGAGCAAATACCACACCCATCTAGAGAAAGGGCCAAAAGGAGTACTGCAGAAAACTGCAGGCCAGTCAGCTTTATTTTGGCCACTGGGAAAATTATGGCAAACTTCTGATTGCAGGTGAAGAACGAGAAAATGATTGAGAAAAGCTGGAGTTAATTTACTGAGAATTAATCTTGCTTGACTAACTCACTTGTGTGGTGAAACAATTTGCTTAGGGAATGAAGGGAGAGCTGTGGACATCACCTGTCTGATTTTAGCAAGGCATTGGTGCAGTATTTCAGTATCTTGTTAATAAGCTGTTCGGGTATGGACTGGGTAAACAGACAAGATGGGTGGAAAACTGGGTAAACTGCCAAGCTCAGAGTGGTGCTTACTGACTCAAAGTTGAAGCTGCTCAGGAATTGAGTTTCTCATGGTCAATACTGGGTCCGATATTACTTAATATCTTTTTAAGTGATCTGGAAGACAGGATTGAATGCTCCCTTATGGATGATGCCATACTTGTTTATGGATGATGCCAAACTTGACGTACAAGTAAATAAGCCAGAAAGAAGAGCCACTATTAAGAGGGACCTTGAAAATCTGGACTGGGCCAACATGAATTACATGCTGTTTACCAAAGATAAAATTAAAGTCCTGGACATAAGATGGAAAAATTCAAGAAGCAATAGTGTCTGAGTGGCATGAGTATAGTTTTTCTGAAAAGGACCCCAAGATCTTGCAAGCTTAACCTGAGTCAGGTGTTTCATGGGCTGCATCAGCAAGAGTACAGCAAATGAATCAAGGAAGGTGATTATCTCACTCTAGGCCACACCTGGAATATTGTGTCCGGTTGCTGTCCATCCAGTTCCAGGATGAGAGTCCAGTAGAAGGACATTTCCACTAAGGGGGTTAGAGGGTCAAAGAGCTTCTTGACATATGGAGAAAGGTTGGAGGGATTTTTTTGTTTTGTTTTGGTTTTTTTTTTTTTTTTTTTTTTTTTTTTTCAGCGTAGAGAAAGGGAGAGCTTAGGGTGACTCTTCTACAATCTTTCCATACCTAAAAACTAGTTATTGAGAAGATTGGCATGCTCTTATTGCAAGGACAGTGAGTAAAGGCAGTGGGTATAAGTCGCTTCAGAGGACATTTGGATATGAGAGAGAAATTCTTTACCTTGAGACCAAGTGAACACTGGGATATGTACCTGAAGAAGTGCTGAAATCTCTCTCCATGGAAATATTCAAGATCTGGTTTGAGGAAGGCCCTGGATCGTCTATCCTAAAGCCTTGCTTTGAGCAGAAGATCGGACCAGATGAACTCTAGAAGCTCTACTTAGACTTTTTTTGTGATTCTGTTTGTCTCTAGATTTCAATGTCTTAGTTCTATTTAAAAGCAAGTAAATATGAAAGGAATGTTTGGAGACAGAGCTGGGATTGTTTAGCCTCAAGAAGAGAAGGCTCAGGGAGTGTTATCAACATGTATGAATACCTAAGGGGAGGCAGAGCCAGACACTGCTCTGTGTTATGCAATGAAATGGCAAGACGCAGTGGCAAGAAACAAACTGACATAAAGGAATTTTCACTGAAACCTAAGAAATATATATTTTTTCCCCACTCACTCCTTACTGTGAGGGTGATCAAACACAGGAGCAGGTTGTTCAGAGAGGTCGTGGAGTCTCCATCTTTGGAGGTGTTTATAATTCAAGTGGATATGGCCCCGGGCACACCGCTGTAGTTGATCTTGCTTTGAGTAGGACTACATGATCTCCCGAAGTGCAAAGAAAAGGCAAGGTAATTAAAGCTGTGAAGCTTCTAGTATGATTTCTTACCCTCAGATGGATTTATTTTTCACAAAATAACAGAGTTCCGTTTTTCTGGACAGAAAACAGAGTTCACAGACATGAGTTGTGAAATAAAACAGAAAATTGTGCTAATAGTACAACTAGTACAAATTTAGTTTCTCATGTTTTCAGTGTTTGCGGGAAAGGGATCAGTTAAAGGCTTTTAGTGAAATTACAGTAGAGCTTGATTTTTTGTGGGATGCTAACAGTCAGATAGAGCTTGGCTGTGCTCTGCAGTCTGTTGTTAGAGTTCCTAAGCATGCTGAGTGACCCTTTCTTTAGCATTGGCTTTATTAAGGTTGCCAAAGATTTAATGCCTTATACTGAAATAATTTGAATTATTAAATTACTGTTCTAACTGTAAGTTTCTCATGCTCTTTCTCTCAGGAAAGATAACAAAACTTTCTAATGATCATTTTATAACCAATCAGAAGCTGTTGATATTTTGGTGTTAATATTTGTTGAATTCTAGCAGTGCGTTTGTATCTGTGTGAAGATGCATTAAATTTCTCTTATGGGATTATCTGGAAGCAACTTGTATTTTGCAAATGCATAGAGCTACCTGTGAGCTTCATATTAACTTTATTTTTTTAAGTTTTATTTTTAATGTTCTGTCTGAGGAGAACACACATAGGGTAACAGTAACATTAGTTTTACTGTTACTACACATAGTTTTTCTTCTTGATAACTGAGTATGCAGAAAATGTTTTTAGACAGGCTGCTGAATTATTCTTAGATCTGTGATGGTAGCAAATGCAAAGTTCTTATCACTGATGTTGTCATATACATATTTCTGTGTAAATTGTTCCTGAATGTAGAGTGAGTGTGTAGGAAGAAGGCATACATAGAACATCCAGCTAAGTGGTTAAATAAATACAAAATACAACACTTCAATCACATGCACTCTGTCACATACCTGCTCTATACTGAGGTTAATGAACTGGCGAAGTCAGGCTGTCAAACTAGGAAATACCAGTCAATGAGTTGCTCAAGTGACTTGAGTTCTTCTGTTTCACGGATATATGAATCAGTTCTTAGGTCCCCTCTGGGATAGCCTAGCCTTGTTCTGTGACCAATAAGGATGGTAATCATGGCATGAAGTAGCTGTTATGTTTGCTTAAAAACTGGTCCTTGCATTTTTGTGTCCCAAATTTATCAATGAACTACTGTTCAATGATAAATAATGAGGCAAGGAAGACTTCCTTCCAATCACTCAGTGCATGGGTTGCAGAACAAAAATTTGTACTTAAAATTGCTTTATGTTTTCATCCCTTGTCTATAGAAAGAACTAAATAGAAATTTTAAAGCACAACTTTGATCTACTTATTAGGTCTGGCTGTTCCGATTAAAAGATTATTCTTTAGAATAAAAGAAGATGAATATTTCGTTGAGGATTATGGCCATATGTGCTTGTTAGGTCTGACTTCAGTTAGAAGGAGCAACCATATTAAAAGGCAAAAGGTTTTTTTTTGTTTGTTTGTTTTTGGTTTTTGTTTGTTTGTTTTTTGCACTGTATACCCTTCAGGAACTCTTAAAAATGTGTCAATGTGTTTGGAAATGAAAATAGTGGTGCGTAAGTAGTGTTAATGGAACGCAGCCTCTTTTCAGAGTCCTAATTTTAACATGCCTTGCAACGTATTTCATTTGTATTTAGTTAGTATGCTGGGTACAGCGATCAAACAAGTACAGAGAGTATATGTGAATATATATATATATATTTTGATGCAGTTTATCACGCACAATTGATATAGAGAAAAGCAGAAATATCTGGAGAGTGCAGTGGCGGTTCTTAATGCAGTTTTAAAACCTGTTGTTACCTGACACATACCTATGAGGGGAGGCAACACCCAATCAATATTTTATGGCCTTGCTTTCTAGTCATACATCAGCTAGAATTTCAGATTGCTTTGCGCAGAAAATCATCAGCATAAAGAGGATGTTTCTGTAAAAGCAATAGCACAGAGATAACATACACTTAAAATACATCTTGTATAAGACAGGTTGGCTAGCTACTGTGATACTAGAAGTACAGAGATTTATTTCAAGTTATATTTCCGATTTGCAAAATCTACCTAGAGGGTGTTTCTCTTGCTTGGGCAAACAATGGTATGAGAATTGAAGTAATATCTTATTAACATGGCTAAAATAGCAGATTTACTGCATCTGTTTCTAGCAAAAATGCTAATTGCTAAATTAACTTTTAAAATATCTTCCTTTTCCTACGGTGTATTCATTTCTCTCTTAAAGCCAACTTCTGAAATTTTGCAAGCTTGTACTAGCATACATGAGCTCTCCTATCTTGTACTTCTGTCTTTCCTATTGCAAAAAAATATATGTTTTTCCACTCTTTTTCACTGAGCAGGATCAGCATCTTTACATTCCAAGACATGAAAATAAAATAGCGTATGAAATGTGTCATTCATTATTGGTTTGCCAGCCATTGTTGTTGAAACATTGCTGTGTCTTATTACTACAGCTGTATCTGCAAGTTTTGCCCGCTTATAGTCTTAGGGCTGCACACATTTGAAACTCTCTATATTGTGAGATGCATGAGTGTTAATAGCTACTCTTCTGTGGAAGCAATTACCAGTGAAGATGACGATGCACTTTGAACAATGTGGTGGTAGTAAGAAGTAATTTGAACTTAGCTTCAAACCAATAAAAACAGAAGAAAGGCTACAACTTCTCTTTATAAGGAAAGTCTGCTGTCACATTCAAATTGCAGCTTAAAGGAATTTGTGTATGTAGTGCCTTGCCACGCCTAGAAATATAATCCTTAAGTTTCAGCTCCCCAGAACTTTTCCCAGTCTCCTTTTTTGTACTAACTTGATGACATAGCTAAGTTCTCATCAGTTTAGTGCTTTTGTTGCAGCTCCTAACAGAACACTTAATTTTTTGATCTGGAATGTTGAAATTAAATTTAGCTTCAGATCTTTTGACATCAGCTTTCTCTCAAAGTTATCATTGATTTTGGATGGATGAATAAGGGGAAAAATTGTCACATATGCCAAGTATATGTCTTCAACGTCCTATCTTTGCTTAGTTGCATAAGTGAAATTTTTGGTGCTTTTTGAACTGGCTTCTTAGAAAAAAGAGACTTACGTAATCATGTTACATTCTTTCCTTTTGAAAGTTTCTGAGGAAAGAAGAAAGCTACCCATTGTGTTAAATGTGCTTAAAATTGGCTATTGCATGTGAAATATGTTAAGCTTCTACATGTTTCTTAAAAATAACAATCTGTCTACAGAGAACAACCCAATTAATGCTTTTGCTCAAGGAAGGAATGAAGTATGTGCTTAAAATTTGTAAATACCAGAAAATTCAATTTTCTGTTTTTTTTTTTTTTTTCTCCTCAGGATTCTCCAGTATATATTGGTAGGAAGAGTATTTCAGTCCCTTTAAAAAGGGATTTTTTTTTCTGGGACTCGTAGAATGATTTATTTCTTAGTGCAGGGTAGCAAGAACAGTGTGAGCAAAGAGTCTAGATTTTACTTCTGTTTCCTCAACAGGAGAAAGGACAAATAAGCTGGCCAAGTTTGCATCAGTTTTGCAAGTATTTTTCCATGATAGCAAGCAAGAAAGTATTTTGCTATTACAGAGTTGATTCTTCAGACTGAAGCTTCATTTGCTTTCTTTCGTGTGTCTGTGAATAATTTGTTATTTGAATCCTGTCAATGGCAGGTGGCAGGCTAAAGAGAACATTTGTTAATAATGCAGACTCCGCAGTTCAAGCCTGCATTATTATCTGTCGTCAGTGGCAAGTATAACTTGAATGGCTCTAGGAGACAGGTAAAGAAAAGGAAAATTTTAGGTAAAGAAAAGGAAAATTTTGGGGAAAGGCATGTTAGCATTTAGAAACAGTGAAGTTATAAATGCTTACTTGCCGAAATGTTTTTCTGCAGTATTTTCGGACAGTTTGAAGACACAAAACATAAATATTGAAAGGAAGAATGTTTAGATGATAGCAAATTCACTGATGTAATTGGTTTTGTTGGGAGTGTGAAGATGAGCTTCATGTTTTGGAATGGGTTCATGTCAAATTCTAATTTCATTTCAACTCCCTGCATCCTCAAATTTACCCAGGAAATTTTTGTTAATCCAATCTCCCAACATTGCACTGAATTCATTCTCTATACAGAATTCTCCATATCTTGGATATTTTGTTGTGTATTAATTAGAAATCTAATTCATATAAAATCTGACCAGGTTAGCACTTAAATTTTTGTTGTCATTGTAGTCTCCCTGTTACTTTAAGGTCTCTGAGACTTGGTAGAAAAAAAAATCACAGCAAAGTCTCATTTAGTTTCAAACAAACAAAGCATTTTAATTACTTGAAAACTTTCTATGATAAGGGAGACAAGAGTAACTACATTTTCTTATTCTCTTGAGGTGGCAAATTTTCAGCAAAGAAATAGTGAGTAGTCTAGAAAGGTTTCCCAATATATCAGATTTTCTATTTTTTATATGAGTGCTGTTGTTGTAGCTAAATAACTGCAGGATGTGACAGATACAAGAATTTAAATTCTGAAGTAAGTTTGTTGCTCCAGTCTTCCCCATTTCTCCTCCAAAAAAGAATGTCTTCCACCCTAAGCTGCAAAATGTTTTATCTCATTTTCTTCCTGTCTGTGATTTACTAGAATACTGTTTTTCTTTTTTTCCTTCTCCCACAGCTGAAGATGCCTTCTTATCTGCAATTATAAATTACACAAATAGCTCAACAGTTCATTTTAAACTGTCACCTACATATGTTCTGTATATGACATGTCGGTATGTATTGTCAAGCCAGTACAGACCTGACATCACTCCTACAGAGCGCACTCACAAAGTCATTGCAATAGTCAACAAGATGGTGAACATGATGGAGGGGGTTATACAGGTGAGTTTCTCTGGAGGAAAAAAAAAAGAGATCAAAGGAATTAAGTATATGTTGTAAATTATTTAGTAACCTTCTTGGTATTTTTCATCAAGGATGAGACTATATAGCAACAAAAATTTCCCATTTGAGGAGTTTTTTGTCAATAAAAAAAATGAGTTGCAAGAAACTCCCTCCTGACCAATGCAGGTAGGGAGGGAATGTTGTCTTGAAGATTTGTTCTATGACAGGAAATCCTGCTGTTCTCGAGAAGGAACAATCTTTGCAAGCATTTCTGGTCACGAGTGATTGAGAAACAAGTTGGATTTCCTTGTTAAAGAATATTGAATAAGTAGCAGGTGTTTGCGTTGATTGAGTCTTAAAGGGGACATATTAGAAAGAAATGTGGCTTTTGAATTCTGGATCTGCTACCATTTTAACTTCTGTAGCAGCAGTTTTGTTTATTTTTTATTTTTTTTGGAACTGAGTTGGTACAATTGCATTATGAAGAGAAATTTAAGTTCTTAAATGTTTCAATACCTAGCACCTAGTTTGACACCATTGTTATTACATATGCAAGACTGGCACAGAAGCACCAGGTGGTATTCTGTGTTGTGTTGTGGGTGACTTTTTTTTCCTCTTTTTTATTTCCCCTTCCCATCCCTGCTCCCTGCCTCTCCCTCCTCAAATGAGACAATACTTGGCATTGTTGAACTCTTGATAAACTGCAGTGGTCATGTATTAGAAAACAATGCTATATTTCAGGTGTGCTTATTTAATTCTCTCCTTTGCAGGATTTTGGCAGAGGAAAAATGGAAATATGTTTTTATAATCATTAAAAGAAGTACATTTGTTACAAAATATACTACTATAATAAATTGTAGAGAGCAAGGATCCTACTACTCTAGGCACTGTACAGAAATAGCAAATATATTAATCCTGCTGTAAAGAATTTGCAGTCCAAGTGACTGTTAGGCAACAGGTTGTTTAAGGGAGAAGAGAGTAGAAAAGCAAACAACAAAAGAATGGCATGACTGTCAAGGTCAAACCAAAGCTGTTCAGCTTTGTTCAGGTTTTGGAAAGCTTCAGCAGAGTTTTCTGTTGCAAGGAGGTGATCATGAGACTGTTCAGTAAATAGTTGCACCAGGCTCTCTCACCTTTCAAAGAAAAGAATGGCAGAAATTGCCAGTGTTGAAGAAACTTTACAGTGAAAAAAACAAGACTGGTCTTTTGTGTGAGTGCTCAGGCTGATGTCAGGTTGAAAGGTTGTTTGAATCTGAAACGAAGAAGTAGTATACTGTTTTTTTTGATGCCATAACAAATGTGTATTTGTTAAAATCAAAGTGGTAACAAAAGTTAGATAATCAAGCTCCACTGTAAACATGATCTGGCTATGGAAAGAGAGTGGATTTTTAAGTCAGAGAGTAGAGCGTTGCAGCAGTGGAGAACATAAACTACAAGAAGCCTGAACAGGAGCTGGGAGAATGGAGAGGAAACAATAAAGGGTGGACTTCACTTATGAGGTGGAAGTTGCAGTGCAAATCCCGCCCTCCCCCACTCCCACATACACACCAAAAACTGGGGTGAGAGGAAGGGAGCAGTGGGAAAGCAAAGGAAGCTCTGTATTTTGCCTCTGTTGAACCAAAATGGATAACTATGTAGCTGCTAGAAGACGCAGGTTTTCATAAAAATAAAGCAGACCAAAACTAGAAAAACTGGAAAAAAAAAATCATTTCCAGCACTGAGAAGAGCTTCACAAATCAAGTCCAACCTTTTGGTTGTTGCAAGCAACTATACTTTATATAATCATACTAATACTATCATGAAACTTGTCTTAAAGCTAAATGTTTGTCTGGACTATCTATTGTGAAAAGCCTTTTCTGCAGCCTCACATATTTGTAATTGCAGTCTTATTTCCAGCCTTAAGTTACGGGATGGCATCAACATAGAAATGGCAGCTAAATTTGTGTTTTGAGAAGGATTTTATCTAGGTAGAAAAAAATCCTGATGAGCGTTTGAGATGGACACTTAAGGAAATTGGGAGGAGGTTCCTCCAAATGCCATGCTGAAGAAGCTGGAGAAAACTAAGAAAAAAGTAAATTATGCCCATGATGAAAGGCTAGAACATCAGGCTAGTGGGCTGAAGATCAAGTAGTACAGAAGCTTGACCAAGAAGAAGTTGTTAGTTTAGACCTCCATTAGTGGATATTGGCTAAGCTGAGTGAAATTACTTCATTTAGGTAATAGAGTATTTATATTGACTGGCACCATTGAATAACTTGCTGTATTAGAACAGTTGTTTTTATAGATCTTAACCCTAAAACATGCCTACATTAATAGGATTTAAGGGACTGAGGGAAAGACAGATGAGAGACAAGAGGAGAGGGAGAGATAGGCAAAGCAGAGAGAAGCAAAGGGAAAATGTACAGTTGTTCTGGACTGCGAATAAAAGTGAAGAGGTTTTAATTCTGATTTTGGTTAACTACTCAAGAAGGTGACTTGATAACTTTCTGAAGTTACCCTAGAAGTCCTAGCTAACAAATGAATTCTGTGACTTTTTGTACTCTTAGATGCATTAGTATCTATAAGCAGTAGAGAATACATCAAGGCTTAGGGAAGAAATTTTGGGGGAGTTATGAAAAGGCTGAGAGGTTTCATTAAAAATTCTGGAATGAGAACTTAAGCTCTGTGGGTAAAATAAGCTTGTGTATTCTGATTTTTAAATCACTCTTGGCATTTCTGATTGCAAATTTTAGCATCTGTTTTCAGAAAGAACGTCTCCTTTCGTTCTGTACCAGCACCTGTTTGGTCAGGTTTTTTATTCCTTGGTTGGAAAGGCAAAGACAAATAAGAGTAGTGACAAATTGTTGTTGGAGCTCTGAATACAATTGCAATGTCACAGCAAAAGACACCTCAAATTTTTCCATCTGAGCTTACTGTGAGTCAGGCAGGAGAGAGTAATCACAGCAGAAATCCAAAAAGTATGAAATAAGAGCTCAGTTTTAATTAAGTAGGCAGACATATCTGTTTTTTTTTTTGTTTTGTTATTGTTTTTTTTTTCCTGTTTGCTTAACTCAATGTAGCTTATGCATACCATTATTTAAGAAGCTTTTAGTGTGATATTTCCGTTTTTGTTGCTTGAAATAGGTGGTTTTGTGGGTTTTTTGGTTTGTTTTGTTTCTTTGTGTGTTTGTTTTTGAAAAGCCATGTGTTAAACCTGTCCTACTTGTGGTTTTATGTTTTAGTTTTGATTTTATTGGGGACATTTTTGTTCCCGTTTTGCATGTGTTTGTACATTGTCTTCATTGAAGCAATGTGCGCAAGTAGCTTCCTCAATCTCATGTGGCCAGTTACCCCATAGCCTGGAAAATGTTCTGTGGGGTTTCTGTGGTGCACTGAGTGTGGAATAACCAACACTTCCAGAATGTCAACTAGTAGAGAGGCATTCCTCAAATTAACTGTTGTGTGTGGCACTTCAGTTCTCAGCTGTTGTGCTACAAGTCCTACTGAAATAACTCCTTTTTTTAAAAGGGGCTCAGTTGCATCATAGCTACTTATTAATGCATCTGTGTATAACTGTGGACATAAGTGTTGTACCTTCATATTTAGTGTTTGATTTCTAAAACTATCATGATTGTTCACAAGTTTCTTTCTTCTATTCTGTTTGATTTCCTTCGTCCGTTTTTCTCCAGGAGGTAGACCAGGTTGATCAGGTAGGACATGTTGCTGGGAACTGATCCTAGCTATGTTGGCTTAGCTCAGTTTCTCATGCTGCTTCCATATCAAAATACAATACTCAAACAGCTGGACTTGAACAGTTCATAACACTCATTCAGCAACTGGAACATGCAGTACTAAAATCCTTTTTTGACTTTGCAACTTTTACGGCATTCCATAATTTCTGCTTAACGCACTTCAATGTGGATATGAAATGACCAAAGTTCTTTTTCTTCCCTTTATTTTCTTTTTTTGTTGTTGTTTGTGGTTCCTATTCTTTGGATCTCATCTGAGGTTGCCTGGCCTGGCATTTGTGGTCGGGAGATGGTGAGATAGATCAGTACTTGATACTGAATCACTGGGTATCAAAACCTGTGAGTGCAGTATCAGGGTGGCAGGGGGGCAATAGTGAATATGTGCCTTAAAAGCATACAGATTACCAGATACTGCATTCAGCTAAGCTCCCAGCTCTGTTTAACTAGATGCTTATGCTGTGGCTTTATTGATACTGCTGTTGGCAATTTGATTGAATTTTGTATGTTCAGTAAACATATTAAAATTGAATTTATCAGTTACGTCAATTGCAATACTATATAAACACATTTTGCAAATATCTGGTATCTGAGATATATTTGGTGAAATGGGAAGAGGTACTGGTCTATCTTTGGAGCCCTTTTAAGTTGCAATGTCTCATTAGAAAATTATTTCTCTGTATTATTCCCTACTTCTTTCTACTTACAGAAACAGAAGAATATTGCTGGGGCACTGGCCTTTTGGATGGCAAATGCATCTGAACTACTGAATTTCATAAAGCAAGACCGAGACCTCAGTCGAATTACTGTGGATGCACAAGATGTGTTGGCACACTTAGTTCAAATGGCATTCAAGTAAGGATATCAAACTTCTGTTTCACCGAACACATTCTGCATGTTAACATGACAGATTTATTTTTATAACTTTTTGAAATCACTCCATATTTTTGCCAATTCAAGATACAGCACTTGTGTGTTTTTTCGGTATCTGAAAGGAGGATTTAGGCTTATTTCTTTGAAATCTTATTTTCTTTTATGAATATGGATCACTGGGCTTATGCCAAGGTTTTTATTTGCATCACTTTTCCTTGCCTTTTTTCGTTAAAGAAGGATTTGCCACTTTGAAATTTGGTTGTCTGTTTTGATTCTCATATTTGACTGAATGAGATGTTGACAGTCAGTGTTTTTAGTACTCAATTTCTGTAGTATGTACATGCTTCAGGTATTTTAGTATCTGTAGGCAATGAGCTTTAAGCTCAGGGTATTAGGAGAACAACTTAATCATAGCTGTTCTTGTGATAGGTGAAACTACAAAATAAAAATTTCATAGAAATTTACGGTATTAAATATTTGTGGACCTATCAACTCATGAATCCTGCACTTGAAAGAGCTTCTAATAAGTTTAATAATCTGCTCCTTTCAGAATTCTCGTAAATAGAAGTTTGCATAACAATTTTTAAGAATGTGGTGTAAAGATGAGTTTAAGCTCAGAGTAAAAAACAACCTGTGTGAGTCAGATCAGTTAATTAGAATATTTTTAATAGGAAGTTTTAGTAAAGTGCCCGTGAAAAGGGAAAACCACCAAGGGAAATATCCTCAAAGATGACAATACTAACAGAACAGAGTTCTTCTCTCTAAAAGGCTTTACTTTTTCACATTTCAAGATCTGCATTTTAGTTAGTTTGGTTGGTTTTAGCCAGCACTGAACAAGTACTTTACAGCAGATTTGTGTTGCTGAGGTTAAAATTTAAAGAATTCTCAGTGAACCTAATAATTCATTATCTTAGCAAGTCAGGTATTTTGCAGTGCAATATGTATGAAGATTGACAAAGAGCTGTTTTTGTTTTATTTTTAAAGAAAGATGGAGATAAACTTCTAAAATTTTTAAAGTCATAAGTATTAGTGTATAACTTCACAGATAAGTGATTTTTGTAGGTGGTTTCACTCTAAGATACATTAAAGGAAAGAAATCTCATAACCAGATGCCTGGCTACATTATTAATGATTTGTACCTGTCCTTCCCACACTTGTAGATTGTCTGTTTTGCAATCTTTTAATGCTTCTGTAGTAGCACAGAATATAATTATATTTTTTTATATTATGAAGTGATTGGGAAATCTAAGCACCCTTTTAGCTGTTTAACTTTAAGGAGCGTGATATTGTTCTAAACAAATAGAGCATGAAAGAGATAGAATGCACATGAAGACTGTTTCAGTGGTGTCATGTGGTGTTTCCTGGATGTTCCCTTCCAAATGGTTCATTTGGAGGAATAAGTAGATGTGGCCATCGTGCCCTACAAATAGTGTATAAGCTTATGTGGCTGAGAAGAAATAGTGCCATTTCCTCTCAACATGAGCAGACTGTGTGTATGAAAGAGTATTTCAGAATTAGGATTGTGTGAACTCTCCCTTAAGCACACTGTGTCATGGAAGACTTCAAATTGATGATCCTTAGGAGAGCAAAACTGTGGAATATATTTTTAGAAGCATAAAGTAGCATGAAAAGAAAGAAATCTACTGCATGAAAATGTTATTTGGTGCTAAAGACATTAGCAATAACAGACTTGATTGAACTACCAACAACCATTATTTTATAGCACTTGAAAATATTTCATAAAGACGTTGCCAGTGAAACAGAAGAGAACTGTATAAAGCCATGAAATATTTTCATTGATCTGTGTATTTATAATTTGATTCCATTTTATTTTCAGTTTTTAACAGAAAATGTGTAAATGAATTATGAAAATCAGTATTAGAAATGTTTTAATGAAAATGTTTAATTATTATAAGTCAAGGAATATTAAAACAGGCTTCCTTTTAATTTCTTTCTAGTTAAAGGTAAGACAAAAACAAGAATCAAAAAATAAAGTAGGACAATTTCAGAGTCCTGTGTGTTGACTCAAAATAGGATAATTGGTTTCTTCAATACTGTCCTTGTTGGAATTAAAGGGAGAAAGGTACATATCTGTTTGTAAAACAGTTTTAGTAATCTTCAAGGATCAATATTGGGCCTAACAATATCTCTATAAAGCGTATGACCTTCACTTGAATGTGCGGTAGCAATAACTGCATTAAAGGGGCCAAGTTCCTTCCCTGCTGACCCAATGTTTCTGTGAAAGGTCTCTCTAAGTCTTTTAAAAAACTATTTTTTGAATCAATATAGTCACATACATAATGCTTTGATTTCAAGAATGTTATGATTTGATGGCTTTCCCTCTAGAAGCATACATGATGAGCATATGCAGGATGTTAAAGCTCCCTTTTTTTTTTTTTTCCTTACTCACAGGTACCTGGTTCATTGTCTGCAGTCGGAGCTTAATAACTACATGCCAGCATTCCTCGATGATCCAGAGGAGAACAATCCTCAGAGGCCTAAAATAGGTTAGACTATCTTTTTGCATCACTTCTAAGCATAGAGTTAATTAGTGATAAATAAAGAGAATTTTTCTTAACAATAGGTGACATTTGTTGCCCTAAGCCCTGAGAATGTTTTAATTAGCTACATAAGAACAAGATAGAAAGACAATGATGACATTTATATGCATTGATTTAGAAATGGTAGAATAATTTAGGTTGTGAGGGACCTCTGATTGTTATCTAGTCCAACATCTTGCTTAAGATGAGGTCAACTAAATTGGGTTGTTCAGGTCTTTGTCCAGTTGAATTTTGAATCTCCATGCAAGGGTGGAGACTCCACAACATTTGAATGTTTTTCGTCGCAATTTTTGTGTTACTGTACAGCTCTCAGAAAGTGTCTGTTTCTTAAGCCTCCCTTTATGCACTTGCACATGACCCTCATAACCTTCCCAGGGACCGGAGTTAAGATGGATGGCTTTGTAGATCCCTTGTTCTCATTTTTGCCCTTCTTGAACATAGGTGCAGTGCTTGCATTATTTCAGTCATTAGGAAGTCCCCCACATTGCCTGGGGGGTGATACTTAAAAGAAAGTAGTGTCCTTGCAATAATATCAACTGCCTCCATCAGCAGCTTTAGAGGCAGCCCATCTGGCCCTGCAGACTTACGTATGTCCAGCCTGGTTAAGTGGTCTCTAATTTGATCTTCCTCTATGCTTGTAGTCCTATAATCTCTGTTACTAGGCCCAAAGACCTTATCAGTGAAAACCAAAGCAAAAAAGCAACTGAGTACTTCTGCCTTTGTACCCAGATGGACTGAGTCACAGACCCACAGTTTGCTTGGCATTCAATTTCCAGCTAATGAACTTAATAGAAGCTATTTGTGTTGCCTTTTGCATTTTTTTGCTAGTTCCACCATCAGTTGCTCTTTGACCTTCTTAACTCCATTCCTGCATGCTCAAACTATGTATTCCTGCCAGATAGCCCATGCCTACTTTCACCTGTGTATTTCCTGTTTTTATGTTTGAACAAGTTGGACCTTGTTTATGTATGCTAGGCCTCTGCCAGGCTCGCCTAACACTCTGCACTTTGGAATTGGTTTTCTTGTGCTTTGGGGAGGCAGTCCTTGAAGATCAACCAGCCATCTTGGGTCGCTGTGTTCTCCAGAGCAGTCTTCAATCGGATCCTGCTATGCAGGTCCCTGAAAAGTCAAATTAGGCTCTTTCTGAAGCCCGGGGCAGTAATTCTACTATTTTCCTTGCCTCTCTCAGGATTTCGAACACCTTATCATCCCATGGGCACTGCAGTCAAAGGTGCCTTCAATATTATTCTTTTTTTGTATATCTCTCTAGTCTCTTCCTACTTTGTGAGTAACAGGTCCAGCACAGCATGTCATTTAGTCAGTTTACCAATTATCTGTGTCAAGAAGTTGTTACCAGCACCCTCTAGAAAGCTCTTGGACTGATTGTGCCAGCCCTGTTGTCCTCCCAAAAGATAATGGGATGACAAATCACCTGTGACAAGTCCCCTGGGAGTATCCAGGTCTGGCCTTCGCTGCAAAAGTCTTCATCTGCTTCTTGAGGAGGTGATCTGTAACAGACATCTAGCACTATGTTAACTTCTGTGGACTGCACTGTGATCCTTGCCTGCAAGCTGTCGGCTGACTGATCACTTTGAACCAAAGCAATGTGTTTGCATTGGAGACACTCCTTTGCAACACCCCCTCCTTCAGTTCCTGGCCTGTCTTTGCTAAAGAGCCTGTGTGCTGTCCGTAGCAGCACCATGTTCATGTGTGCTGTCCCACCAAGTCCCTGTGATGCCAGCTCAGCGACTGTGCACTTGAGGTTAAGATAATCAGAAAAGCCATTAAATACAAACATTCAGTTCAACTACTGAGAGTATTCATAAGAAAATTCACACATGCTTTCCAGTGTTTTGAGTATTAAGCTTGCTGTAATTGCCTTTTTCCCCTATGTTGAGCATTCGAGGAAGAGCATAGAGATGTGCAGTTAAGTATCTAGTGTCTTATACTGAGAAGGAGAAAACTTGTTAAAAAAAATAGTAATCTGACATTTTATCAGGTAAAACTATGCTGTGTGTTAGGGAATAGGGAGGTGATGATGCTCATTAATTAAGTTATTTTTAATTTGCTTTATAGATTTCTATCTTGAAGTATTTAGGTAATTTCTTTAAGCTATGCTTAAAGAGCGAATTTGGTAGTCTCTAATTTCAGGTGCAAGTACTGTCTTAAGGCTTGAAGATAAATGTTCTGCATGCTTTACTACATTATATCAGGAAACATAAGGGAAGTTTGTGCTTAGTGAAGCTAACAGGAAGTAGATATTGCTTTTTACATAATGTTGCAGTGAAATAATGGGCAAAAAAAAAGAAAAATATTTAAAAACATAATGTGCAAAGAGGACATGCTTTCTGCAATTTTTGGAGTATACCATGCAGTAAAAAAAAAAGTGCTGTAATTCTTGGCTGCAGTTTGTATTTAACTAAAAGGGGTTAGGGAATAATTGCAACATGCATTTGAAACAATAGAATATAAAGATTTTAAGACATTCCTAAAAATAATAGGAAAATGAGTTTAAACCCTGAAGTGAAGGTATAATTTGAATGTTAAGGATAACCCCTGTATACTAAGTACGAGAATTAATTTTCACTTCAGGAATTATTAAAAGAAATTAACCATCAGTTAAATGCTGCTGAATCTCAACCCAATTCCAGAAAGAAATAGTAAGTGATATTTTATTTCTAAAAGAGTGTGTAACTTCAATTTGTGTAAGTTCTACCTAATATTAACTGACTTGAGTTGAGTGTCCTACATGCTAGTGTTTATGGCCTAAATTAGTTGTATGTTGTGTTGTGTAAATTGATGTACTTTTTGCTTTATCTCTGTAGACGATGTCTTGCATACACTGACTGGAGCTATGTCCCTGTTGCGACGATGTAGAGTGAATGCTGCACTGACTATACAGCTCTTCTCCCAGCTATTTCATTTTATCAACATGTGGCTTTTTAACAGATTAGTTACTGACCCAGATTCAGGGTTATGTTCACATTACTGGGGAGCCATCATTCGTCAACAGTTGGGCCATATTGAAGCCTGGGCAGAAAAACAGGGTTTAGAATTAGCTGCTGATTGCCACTTGAGCAGAATAGTGCAGGTGAGTGTTTGGTTTTGTCATTAACAGTTCTGAAATAATTGTACATTCAGAAAAACTATTTATATATTGTGCATACCTCGAGAATAGCTTGTTGAAGTGTATAGTTCTGAGAATAAATACCGGAACACCAAGTTAGCATGCAAAGATACATAATATGTCTGACATATTTAACATTAAAGTTTTAAGTGAAATTAAGTTAGTGATTTTAGCTAGCATACTGTTCAATTTCTACTTATTATATTGAGCTCTAACTAGGTTGATCAGAGACAAGAACATCAGATGAAAAACTGACATGTCTGATTTGTGATAGGTTTAGAATTCACTTGTCTTACAGGTACCGGAGATGTATGTAGTGATTATTTTGGGGAAACTTCTGTTCCTTTTGTAGCAAATTTGGCTTCTCACTGTTTGTCTCCTGCTGCCTTTTGACTAAAAAGTATTCAGAAAGAAGGGCTAAAGAATCATTTTGTCTCCTGTGACTTTTTTTCCTCCCCATACTCTCAGGCAACCACATTGCTCACAATGGACAAGTACTCACATGCCGATGTTCCAAATATTAACAGTACCTGCTTTAAGCTGAATTCTCTGCAGCTACAAGCTTTGTTGCAGAATTATCACTGTGCTCCAGATGAACCACTTATACCAACAGTAAGTCATTTGTCTTGATTACTGTGCTGTTCTGTGCTGTTTAATATACCCGAGGAAGATGGACTTAAAAATAAAACGGTGGCTGAAAATAGCCGTCTTACTGTTTGATTTGTTTGATATTTTCATATTTTTATGGGAAGAGAGTGAGTTCTTACATATACTAAGAAGTATTTATTGGTGGTAGCAACACGCTTCTGGGGATCATATTTTATGGGTTTGATTGACTGGAACTTGAGCAGGGTACTGTTTAAAAAAAAAAAAAAAAAAAAAAACACTGATTCTGAAAGCAACGTATCATATTTGCTGAGCATGCCCCAAGAGATGTCATTGCATCTTACGCCCTTTGCGAAGCAACTCAATAAAGCAGTAGAGGAGGCCTGCATAGAGAATTCTAGCTCTAGCCACAAGAAGCAGTTTTGACTGTAGCAGTAAAGTGAAAGAAGCTGGGATACTCATTGCTTTTATACGTGGATTTACTTTTTAAAAATTACGGATTTTGTATTCTTTCATTCAGGCAGTGGACAGTATCTTCAGATGAACGAATTGATACCTGAATCATCTAATTTATATAGATAGATTGATAGAAAAATTGCTTTCTGAACTGATCTTTGTCTTGATATATAAGGAATATGACTGAATATTCTAAACCCTATCCACGAGCGCAATCTGTGGCAAATGTCAAAAGAGGGTTTGTATTTCTTGGAGGATTGTAATTATGAATGGAAGAAAAGTAAACTGAGTTACAGGATAGATGATTGATCTCAAAAATAATAAAAGGTGAAGATAATATTTGTAAAATTGAATACATAGTGTGCAAAAACTTATTAATAACTTTGGATACATTCATGTCTTAAATCAAAGGTATAAATATAATGTTCCTTAAGGGGCACTTGCAGCGAGTAGGGTTGACTGCCAAACTGAAGTGCCATTTACAGAAGAACATAGCTTATACTTTTGTTTGCAAATAGGTAGAATTTCATGATTTATTGCTGTTGTTCTTTATTGCATTCAAAAAAATGCTGAATTTGATAGTTCATCTTTGTTTCTGAGGGAGGATTGCAAAATAGTTTTCCTCGTGGTGGTGAAGTAGTGTTTGGGACTTCTTGCTGTAAAGACAGATGCACTTGAATTCTGGCTTTTGCTGCCAAATTTTCAGGGCTTGGAATTTATTTGAAGGCCTATAAAGACATTAAATGTACACATTTTAGTTTTATTTAAAATGATCACCTTTTATGGTAAAAAGGCTTCTCTCAAAGAGCACTTCCTAAAGACAGATGGAATGTATCCAGCTTCCTGATAGAAGTTTGTTCCCAACTAAATGCTCAGTTTCAGCACATGCACGTTTGCCTTGAATGCTTTGTGCTTTTTTGAATTGTGCTAAAGCAATAAAACTGCCTTATGAGGCAGTTGCATCACTCTTTAGTGTAACTTGGATAAGATTTAGATGAAACTATTAAGCTGGCCTTGGGAGTCAAATAGAAGCTGTAAAGAGGCTCAAAATCATATCTGAATCTTCAGTAAAGCATATATTTTATGGTAAAAGTATGTATATGTTATAGTTGTAGCAGCTTCAGATAAATGATTGTAATAATTACATCTTGATGATAGCAAAATCACTTATCTCCTGGGGACATGCCTCCTCATCCGCAGGGATGAGGTCTCTTCCAGAAGGATTGCTGATTAGGTAGAGGTAAGATGGTTTTATTATTGTTGCTGCCCAGTCTGTGCAACACAGTGATGAGTGAGACCGAGGGTGGTGTCTTGGCCGCTGTGGTGGAGCAGGCCATGGTGGAGCTCTGAAGATGCTGAGTATTGGCACAGTGATACTTGCCATCTTTTTCAGAGTTGTCTGTCTATAGCAAACAGTGCAAACAATGCAAACTTAACAGTTTAAAACCTTCCTATCAAATCTTACCTTGAACACTGCAGATTGGCAAAGGAAGCAAACAAACAAAAGTGGACAAATGCTTTAGTAAAAGGAAAGATTAAAAACTCTTTTGTTGTGTGCTTTTTCAATAAGTTTGGGAAGAATTGAAGAATATAGAAACAAAATATTGCTTGGACTTTAACTTTTTGGGAAGTTATTAAGACTTTGAAATTTGGTAACTTCTGAATTGAATTAATACAGTGTAGTAATATATATGTACTCATCGTGCATACACGATGTTTACACATGTGTATCTGTCCATGGCAGGGGGTCCTTCATATTATACTGAGTTCACAGGTGTGGAATTAAAGTTATATAAAGCTTCTGAACAGAGAACTGTATATGTAGTTGATCTCTGTGTGTTTGTGCGTTGCCATGGAGCGGAAAATCCTTGTATGCAGAAGTAGTGTGTTTCTTCTGTATGATATGTTTCTTCTGTATATAGGTAGTGTTACAGAAGCATGTATGCTCAATATGACAAAATCAAAATTACTTGTCTCTGATTCCAACTTATCCTCTGGCATATATGTTCTATGCTGTATATTTTTCAAATGAAATTAAGCAGGAATATATGACACATTTTAAAAATATCGGAGCAAAAATAAATGCTGTTGAATTTTGTTCTATAACTGCATAATCCGTGAGGCTTGATTAAGTAGAGTCATGCAAAATACTCTGTGTACAAAGTAGAGCCGCAAGTTTTACATCTGATATTTAGCTTTCCGAGTTCCTTTTTTCACGCACTCTTAGTATTTTCTAAATGATTTTTCTTTCTCCCTATTAAAAAAAATAATTATAACTATTATAATAGTTATTATCTCTTTCTGTTCTCTCCCCAGGAATTGATAGAGAATGTAGTAACTGTTGCAGAAAATACTGCTGATGAACTTGCTCGCAGCGATGGCAGAGAAGTCCAGCTGGAAGAGGATCCTGACTTACAACTCCCTTTTCTTTTACCAGAAGATGGATATTCATGTGATGTTGTCAGAAATGTTCCAAGTGGATTACAAGAATTTTTAGATCCACTCTGCCAGAGGGGTTAGTTCTACTCTTTTACAGTGTAATGGTGTTTCTTTTTTGGTGCAGTAAATGGCACAGAACCTGTAATATATTTTGAGTTGTTTGTAAATCACTTTGTTTTCATTTATGTGTGTTTCAGTTTTATTTTCCTTAGGGTATTTTGCAACCCATAAAGTTATGCAGGGTTTTTGAATCCTTTCCCTTTCTCACTAGCTCTTTCATTCATTTTCAAGGTTCTAAATAGTCAGAATTTACTTACTAGTGTCTACTGAAATTTCGTTTTGCCTTTGCAAATTAAGAAATTAAAAAATTATTTTAAAACATGCTGTAAGAGTTACCTAGCAATCATTTATTTTAAGATTTTTATGCATGTAGTTGTACTAAAAAAAAATACCCTGTAGCTTCTCCATAAGTAAGTTAGTATTTGTGATCTTACAGTATAAAAAAGAGCAGAAAGAAAAAAATACTGACTAGAAAAGCAAAAAAGTTCATGATGCAGAAAAAAAGAAAGAGGAAAGAGCACTTTGTACCCCTGTTTTCGTCTTGTCCTTGTCTCTTAGCTGGGCCACGCGAGTTATATTAGAATAAAATGTAGAATGAGAATTGCTGGGATAAGCAAACACTGATACTTAGAAAGTCAACAGGAAGCAGGAGACTAGAATTTGCTTTTCTTGTCTAATACTTTTCTAGAAATGATTAAGCTGTTTAACAGCAAGACAGCACCTGTGCATCATCTGTTCAGGCAGGTTGTGGGCAACTTGAATTTGAAGGGAAAATCTATTTTTGGTCATTAGTTATGAAGATGTTAAACTCCTTTGTGAGAATATTGCCGTATGAAAGCTGATGCTTCATTGCTGCAACATAAATGTAATTTTCTATAATATTCTAACAGCTTCAGAGTCAAGCTACTTTTAAAGCTTTAAAGCTGATGAATATTAAGTAGCTTGGGGCTTTGGTTTTTGTTTTTACAACTCAGCTGCTTCAATACAACTTAAAAGAAAGCTTAAAATAGATCCTTAATGCTCATCAACAAAAGAACATGCTGCTTGAGAATTTGTACACTAACAAATTTTCAAATGAAAAGTAAAGAACTAATGTGGTTGCGTGAAAGTCAAATAAACTTGAGTGGAAAGCTAAGCGGTGGATCTGCCTCTTTTGCTGAACTGTCCCTCTAGTTCAGAGCACAAATTGTTAGCTTTCCTCCTTATCTTGAGCGACTCCATTTTATTAGAAACGTCTTTGCTTTATAATTTCTTATTAATTTTCTATTTTTTCTATTTAATAAGCAATTGTTTAAAACATTCATCAGGAGTAGCATGTGTATGACACCAGTAGGGGCTGTATACAAAGCAGACTTGGTCTATCCTATAGAAAAGTTTTGCAACTGTTAGTTTTAGTTCTTTATGGGAAAGCAGTGTTCTTGTCTCAAAAAATGCATTTGCTTTAAAAATACTTGCATAGTTTTTATGTGCGATCTTTTTTTAATCCATACAAAAAAAATACTTGGTCTCTCTTAAATTATGCAGCGTGACTACAGTAAGCCACTGTAAACTGAATTGCTGAAAAATGAAATGTTCCTTCTCTCCTTTGTGAGAAGGAACATCCATTGTATTTTGATAGGGAGACCTGGGTCTGGAGTTCTTATTGCCTCTGATTTAGGGGATAATGCTAGATATCTTAAAAGCAATATAGATCTTACTGAAGGACTTCGGTTAAATTTGAGTCGTTGCCGTAGACTTGCACTGACATTGGACAAAACACTCACTAAACCTTTCAGTTGCTGTGGCTCCTTTTTAATTCCAAGAATTTCTCCATTAATGATAACCAAGGCAAACAAAACCTCACTTCTAATGGCATGGTTGCACTGCAGATGGTAAGGTATGGTCTTTAATTTTGCTGTATTTCTGCAGAGACTTGACTAGTGAGGTTCAGTGGAAAACAAAAGATGTCCATGATGCTCTTTTATTCTGAGAGTTTACTACCAGTGCTCTGAAAGATGGTTGATGTTTCCTGTCTCTCCTGTGTTAGGTTTTTACAAACAATTTTTGCAACTGAAGAGAGTTTTCTGTAAGCTCCTAGGGTTTTGAGGTACATGTGTGTTTTTTCCAAAGCGGCAGCAAAGCTGTAGGATTTTGTAGGTGTCATGAAACTGTAGTGCATGAGATGTGCATACTTATAAATATAGCGGGGCAAATTCTGTTGCTATTTGGTATTTCCCTGCGGTGAGCTTTTCTGTTTTAGTTAATCTGTTGAGAAAATATCATGCATATGTTTCCTTTCTCTTGTAGGTTTTTGTAGACTAATACCTCATCCACGGTCGCCAGGCACATGGACAATATATTTTGAAGGTGCAGACTATGAAAGTCACCTGTTACAAGAGAATGCTGAATTGGTAAGCATTAATTTGGCAAATAATGGTGAAAATTGAGTAACGATTAACAAGTCTATGTTTTGCGATATTTACTTATTTTATTCATTATTACTAGGAAGAACAAGCTTCATTATTAAGCATATAATTCATTAATAACTGTTTTTCTTTTTCACTGGACTTGTTAATGGAGTGTTACAGTTACAGTAAGGTTTTGTGTTGTAACGACTCTTAAAGCCTTGAAATTAACTTGAAGTAAACTGTCCTATATCTTTGCAAAATTATGTTCTACGTGCTACGTTACAAACTGCACTCTAGACAGATCACCCTCACCCTCCTTCAAGGAGTCTATTGAATTTAAATGTGGTTGTGTTTTTTTGTTTGTTTGTTTTTTGTTTGGTTTTTTTTTTTGCAAAAGTTACTTCATTTTCTGAATCTATTGTATATCAAAATGCAAATCACTTAGAATCTTTCCGTATTGTAACTGTTAAATTAGAAGAGGAGAAAAATGTTAGACTTAACTTTATTATGGTACAGAAGACGGGTGTAATAGTTGATAACGTTACAGAAGACAGGTGTAATAGTTGATAACGTAAAGATAATGTGAATTCATATTGATCGAGTGTAACAGTTTCTACTTGTAATTAAGTTCCAGACACATTATTTAGGGTGTGAGATTTTTTTTGCTACATGAACAGATTTGATTGTAGGTTGGTTATTCTGTGTTCATTTACCAGCCTGGCAATGTGAATATTGAGCTTTTGTCTTTTTTCATCTCTGTTGCCCTTCTGTGTTCAATAGACTCAGCCTTTGAGGAAAGAGCCTGAAATTATCACTGTAACTCTAAAGAAACAAAATGGAATGGGCCTGAGTATTGTTGCTGCCAAGGTATGTAAATCGCTTTGTTTAAGTGTTACTAAGTGTGTTCTTATTTATGTATTTATTAATCCTACTGTGGAAAATATTATTAGAAAAATCCATTTCAATCAAATTTGTCATGCATGTGATATTAATCATACTTCTATGCTGGTGAGTACTTCAGTAAAATACACAAGTATGAATTTCATAATGATATTTAAATCCAAAATGCTACAAGTTAATACAGCATTTTCTTCAGACTCAGAATGTTATGAAAAGAATGAATCAGTATAGTTATTTAGCACTGCAGCTGACAAATAGCAGGAGTGTCTGGGGAAGAAAAGGAGTAAAATGCAGGAAGCACAAAGTGTCTTCACTGGTGTTTTATTCATTCATTAAAATAATAATTCAAATATATACGTTGAAGTTTGCCTATTTTCTGCTGTGAAAAAGGAGATCTTGTCCTTTGCATGGTATACAACTGCCCATACGACTTCTTTCTAATCGAGGTCTATAGCGTATTGAGTAGCTTGGTAAAGAGGAGCGTTCCTCTTACTGAAGTCTCTGATACTCTGCTTGCTTTTGGCAAGAATGGATAGACTGCACATTCAACTCCAACCACCAGATGGAGGGCTCCACCAGTTGGTGGGTTTTACCTTTTTAAATGGGCCACATAGCAGACATGATCCTTAATTTTAAAATCTGTTATAAATTACGCGACTGTCTTGGTTGCCATTAAATGGCAGATGGAGCAAGTTTTTCCTAGTGCCTCTTCACTATGTAGTACACAAAGATTTTTTGAAAAATCTCATCGTCCTTGTTACTGGAAGGGCTAAAGGTATGCTTGTTAGTCCTTTTAAAGTATTTGAAGAAGTATTAATTACTTCTAAGCAGCACTATTTTTTCTGCAACTTTACACATTTCATGTTCATAAAGTGGTAATCTTGAATAGTATTTGCCTTCAAGATATATTTGTGAAATCCGTAAATGCAAGTGAAAACTAAAAAATAAAAAGTATCGGATACAGGTTGTTAATATCAGCGGTTACTGAGAAAACTATTTGGAATCTGATAAAAAAGAAATTCAGAATGTTCTGCTCTGATTCAGTAATTTGAGCAGCAAATACTAGATTTTGAGATGGATGAAAAACATCAAACTTTTGGCTAACGTTTGCATTTCAGTTGAATGTTTTGAAATGTTAAATTGAAATTACCTCTTCACCTTAAACTGTGACACTTGATTTCTCATTTAGAGTGGGTATGAAAGGGTATTTCTGTGGTCACAGGAGCTGGCTGGCTCCTCCAGTACACTGTTTCCACTAGCAACAATATCTTAATTTACGTTAATATTATTTAAGAATGTTACTGTCCAGTGTGAAAGCTTGCTTTGAAATTTTTTGCAGTTGATTTAACCAATTTTATGATGTCTTCATATCACGATTTGTGATGGAAAGAGCAATCTTCATCTTAGTACATGTACTCGCAGAAGCAAGTATGCATGCGGTGTACATGCCGCAGTGTTGGAATGCTGATTTAAAAAAAAAAAAAAAGGTTTTACCTTAAATCTCGATCTAAAAGAAGCAAAGGCAGACTTTATATTGTATTAATTTTAGTGTGTGTCAAATAGACACATCTGCTTAGTTGGAAGTCTGCAGAATCTTGATTGGATAGAAATAGTCATCTTGCATTAAGTGTTGAACCAAATTAGTTTTAAACTAGTAAATAATCGGTATTATTTTCAAGGGATATTTAGAGTGTGGAGGTAATTAGTAGCATGGTTTTTCCTTAATGGTCTTCATAAAAACAATGGGGTAAAGAAGAACGTTCAAGCACCTGCACTCATTTCCCTACTCCATTCTTGGGCATACCGGTACCTCCACATTCTTCTTTCCAGTCCATTCTTGTTGACTTCCACTAATGCCTTTTCTGATATGTCTCAAATATGCTTCTTTTAGCAGCATGGAAATAAAAGTTCTGTTTTTCTCATTTGAAGAAAGTGGGGACAGAAGTCCAGTTATTTGTTAAAATTTCACACAATTAAAATGTATGGAGTACATGAAATGAGAAAACGACAAGCATCAGAATGGACTTTTTTGTTGGTTGTATGAAAGTACATTATAGTTTAAGAAATGATAAGCTGTATTTTCAGAAACAATTCCTCTTGCCATGCGTAGGAACCGGTTTGATTGCAAATTCTGGTTTATATTTCTTTAGCTACTAGTTTCTTAAGAGCATTTCCAAAGTGTTGTAAGAAAAGAAAATTCCAGGGTTGGTCAACAAGTGGCACTGCTCCACATATTGAATTGCAACTTTGTAACTGCTCTGTTTTGGTTATGAAAATAAGTTCTGATATGGCAAAGCAGTTGCTGTCAGGAACATGCAGTGACAGAAGGAGAAGGTCCTTGCATGTCAGTGCTGACCTACCTTTCTCATTAAGTTAAAATCGACTTTTTCTTAATGTATGCCTGATTCTGGTCGCTGGCCGACTATAAAGTTGATTAAAATGTGCATTGCTGATATTTTTAGAGACAAGTGAAATAGGCAGGTTGCGCAAGGTCCATTGAAACACATAATTTCTACTGAGTGCTTCTTTCTTTTTTTTACCCACTGCAACAATCTACACTTCTCTAGTAATTTGTGCTCATCTCCAAGGAAGCATGTAACTAACTAAGAATTTGGTAATTCTTTTGGCTTGTATTGGTGTGCAGGATTTCTGTTTTATCAAAGTCTGTGCCAATTAAGAATTTCTAATGGGGAAATTAATCCACCTTCCAAACAAAATGTGCTTTAATTACCAAGTGATTGTCACTTCCTTTTCTGTTGCCATCTAAAAATGATCTTGGGAGTTGCACCTAAGGTTATATAAGCAGAGAAATGGCACAGCTTGCATTGAAATGTTCCGTACCTGCTTATCTTGGTGATAGACAGCTTCAGTTTGCAATAATAGTGGTGGAAAACATTGACAGTAAAGTGAAAAATGGGGAGTGAGGCAAAGAATATATAAAAGTGTGAGATCGCTGGGGAAGCCTGCATTTGATGCACTTTCCATGTAGTGACAGCTAGAATCTTTAAAGTCATTACTTTTAAATAAAAATGAGTATTTGTAAAGTAATAAAAAGGAGCATTTGTAACGTATGTGTTGCCAAGAGTGTCGGAGAGGACAAAATTGCTACCTATCAGCTGGTTTGCTTATCTTGGTTTACTTCAAGAGAATTTTCCGAGGCAAGACAGCCCCTTTGAGCAACTGTTCAGTAAGCGTGTGTGCTATATGAACACATGCTGGATAAAGCAAGTTCAGTTACGAAACAACTGCTAGCAGGCAGGGAATTGAAAACAGTGCCTTTTTTTTTTTTTTCCTTTGGATGGGAAAACATCTGATAGCATTTCTTAACTACTACTTCTTTAACTTAACAAATTGTGTAGCTCCGCACATTTTGTGACCCAGAAGGTTAACCTCCTCTTTAACGTATTTGCAGCGTTGCACGTTTCCTAGCAGTACTGCTCCCGTCGCTTTATCGCCAGCAGCTTTTATAAGAGTAATATGGAAATGTAGCTGGGGGGAGTGGTCGGGCGTCAGGAACAGTATTGCTCTTTGAGGTTGTGTGCAGAATTTGGTTGCTCTAACCCTGAAAGATGTTTTGATGTTAAAAGCTGCCTGACTCCCAACCACATTGCGGTTGAGTTTTTATGAAATCCAGATGATTTGGAAGCAGTGTGTGCATGCAGTTTACTTTAAAAATATATCACTTTTTGGGGGCTTTTGCATGTGACTTCTTAGCCATCTGTGGGCCAGCACATTACTTCCTGTTTAATTTGGAGGTTTTTTGTCTCTTGTACAAAAGGGCTCCCTTTTTGTTTTTCTAGCAGTTTTCAAAGTTTAATAAAGCCTCTAAAGTAAATGAAAGTCAGAACAGCATAACTGATTACGTAAGAGACCGAATATTGTATTGGTTATAGCTGGTGTTGATAAATGCTATACTGTGTCAGAGCATCCAGCTCAGAATTATCTTGATGGGTATCTTGGAAAATCCAGCAGACTTGGTTGCTGTTGAGGGGTGAAGAGAAGTGGAGAATTGTTTTTTCCTTTCAAGGATCTGTAGTCCCGAAGATCAAAATGTGGTTTTCTGTTGTTGGAAGAACAGAATCCATGGTAAGTCTGTTCAGGTTTCTGTTGGGACTGTTTTTCTGTTAAGTTTTAAATATTATCCCTGTACTTTTTTCTGCTCTCTTGCTTGTTTAAACCTGCCAGTAGTTATTTGTTCATGTAGTAACAATGTATTGTAGCACGCAGTTAAATATAGTCAGAGGCTGGGAGCTAACTTTCCAGAAATTAAAAGGAAAAGCTTAACTACTTTTTAGCTTGGTTTTATATGTACTTTTCAAATTTGTGTAAGCGACTTTTAATATGTGAAGTTTCAGGTGTGACAGCCACCGTGGAAGAGCATGAATAGCATGACTTGTGATATGTTTACTTGTCATATTAGTTGGCTTTAATCCAGATTCCTCTGAAAGTGCATTTTCTGTTTATGAAGTCTTAAGAGCATAATTAAAATTAACATCCAAAGCAGTATGTAGAAAAGATTTTAAGTATCCTATAGACCCCCTACCCCAAAGACAAGAACGTGCAAATATTTTCCAGTTAGAAGGTCTTATACTGAGCACTTTTGCAGCAGAGGCATTTAAATTCTGCTTGAATTGCCACTGCACCATAGACGGGATTGCAGTGTTCTGCAAAAATGGTGTTTTTTTTTTTTTAATTAATTTTGGAATGCTAATTTAGTCATTAATATATGCTCCGGTTTAGATCATAGAAGTATACTGCGTATTTCTTTTCCGCTTCATACATTGTCATGTTTTATTAGTATAATGGAAAAAAATGCCTTAAAATGCATACATATTTGCACCTGTATATAAATGAAACTATATTTTTAGTTGTGTTTTTTTTTAAGATTTATTAAATATTTCCACAACAATTACTAAAATATGATAAGACGATGACCTTTTCTTTTTAGTAGAAGCCTTTCAGTGTCA